AGTGATGGTAGTACACTACTATCCATTAATCTTACATGAAAACCTCACATTGAACAGGATGGAATATGTCTCCCACATTAATCTCACTAAACATGCAAACTGAAACTTAGACGAGGATAGATGTGATCACTGTTGCAGAACCTTTCATTGTAATTCATGCAACATATGACCTATACGTTGCAACAATAGGACTTGTAAATCTGTCACATTCATACACTGATAAGTCAAGTCAATAAGGAAAATTTTCATCAGAGAGAAGCAAAAACCCACCCAAAGAAAAATCAACGAGTTTAGCTGCAACAGCTACAGCAGCACCACTGGAGGCTCCCCCTGGTATTCTTTCAGGTGAGGCAGGATTAGTTGGTGTACCATAATGCTTGCTTTCTCCACTCACACTGTAATAAGAGGAGACAGAATACTTAATCAGAAAATACATGGAGAGAAAAGAGACCGTACTCATTCTGGAAATCTGAAATTTTAACAAGTAGGGTGAGGATAAGTAATTACCCCAATGCCATATCATCCACAACGGTTTTTCCGACACATGTAGCGCCTCCATCAACAAGGGCGGCAGCAGCAAGACATGTACGCTTAGCAGCCTCATGAGTCCTGGACCAGTCAGGCTGTCAGGGTTGCCAAATCCAGTAACAAATCCTTCAATGTCAAATCTGTCAACAAATTTGACATTAAGGTTATTGAGCTAATGTCATAGGAACATTGGGAATCCAAGTTGAAGAGCAATCATTAAGTTCTACATGAGATAAAACCAAATATAAACTTCAAACTCCTATCCAGTGTCCTGCAAGAGAAATCAATCTTCCATTATCTAACAAATCAAAGCCGATATTTATTTCCATATCCATAACCTCGTCAAATTCGACTTGATCCTAATCCACAATGACTAGAATTCTACTAACCCAATACCAGCAAAGAATGCACCATGGATACTCTCGTCACTCAACTCTCAAAAAGCATACATGTTAAAATCATATCAACAACACAACGCTATTCAAACACACGACAAATACAAAATAGAACACAAAAACTACCACCCAAAAGAAAAACAGGCCAAGAATTACTCATAAAACTCTATCAGCCATTAATAGCTCTAACAACATTCAATCACAAAACTGTACCACGTAAAACTAAAATTAAGGATGCTTACACGTCAGAGACCGCAAAAGAAAGGCCGGTAAGAGGATGAGGTGCTTTAGGCGGCGCGGGCTGTGGTGGGGGCAACAGCTGCAATCGCTCCATAAACGCGCCAAAATCAGCTTTCGTCATGATCAATATTCCCGCAATCCCAAGACCGAGCAGAACCCACAAGTTCGACGAAGATGACATTTTTAGCGGTTTTCAGAAAACACAGCTGTTTCAGCTGGCGGATGTTGAACAAAACTGGGTCAAGGGGGGCTGCTGTGACCGAGCGACTAAC